TTGAACACATGGATTTTTAATCTATTTGATATGTGGTTCATTGCAGAATTTATTCTTTTCAATTAGTAGTAGTTTTTACATAAATTCAAAGAGCATTTCTGAATTCCTTCTTCTGCCAGCACCACCTGGCACATGGCCAGGTGCCCTCTGAATGTTTGTGTCTTCTCTTTTTACACATGCATGTTCTGACCCCAGTTCTCCCTAGATTAACTGAAGCTGGAATATAACAGACTAACTAAAAAATTCACTCAGATTTCATTTTCTTAGTCCTATATAGGACCTGTATATGTAATACCTAGTATTAAAAACTTAAAGTGTTATTTGTCAACCAAAGATTGTAGTTAACTAGCTGAGGAAAGTGTTCTTTTTTTTTTCAACTCTTGCTAAGACATTTTTTCTTCCTATATTAGTGGTAAAGACTGATGAAGGTAATTGAAGCATCCTTATAAATATCATACTCTTAATGGCTGAAATTATGTTGATTTCAGAGTCTACTTTGAATTTTTAAAATAAACTGGGGAGTAGAAAAATCTAAACTGATAGGGTTCTATTTTCTTGATTTCTGATTAGTCTAATTACATTTATAAAATGACTAGATAGTCACTTCAATATGTAAAGAAAAACGTTTTCTTTTCAAAGACCTTTGTATTAGTTGAGCAAATCCATCATGCATACAAAAATCACTAGAAACATTTCATAAAGTTTGCCAGCCTATTCTAGAATATGTTGTAGCAAATCAAAGAAGAGAAAAATATCTGTTCATGTTGAGGTGTCAAGAAAATTTCTTGGGTTTGTGGAATTTGACAGAACTTCTCCCTAGGGCCTGGAGAAGTTAGATAAGCAAAATGAAAAGTGTAGCCTTTGTGAGACAAATGAGCAAAGATTTGGATTTAGGTAGAAGCTCACTGGCTGCCAGCAAGTATTCTCATACTTTTTTACAGCTATTTTTATTCCTACTCTACCTTCAAACAGGTCTCTCTCCCACCTCCACACAACACTGTGATGAAGTAGAATTTTCCAAATGCATAGGAAGGAAAACATTTTTCTCTATATATTAACTTGTCAGGTCTGGTAGGGACTCTTGGGTCCTAATTCATCCTGCCAAGCATAGTAATCATTGTTTTATAACATTTTAGGGAACCAGCCTTTACATTTTTTCCACATGTATCTTTTATACTTAGGTCTGTTCCTCAAAAGCTTATGCATGCTATGTTCTCAAACTTATTATTTTTCTGGAATATTTTTTATTGACTATGCTATTACAGCTGTCCCAAGTTTTTTCCTTTGCCCCCTTCTGCCTGGTATCTCCAGCAATCCCTCCCTTAGTTCATGTCCATGGGTCATATCCTTAGTTCATGTCCATAAGTTTTGGGCTTCTCATATCCTATACTACTCTTAACCTCCCTGTCTATTATGTACCTACCATTTATGCTGCTTAAGCTCCATACCTTTCCCCCTATTCCCTGTCCCTGCTGACAACCCTCCATATGGTCTCCATTTCTATGATTCTGTTCCTGTTTTAGTTGTTTGCTAAGTTTGTTTTTGTTTTTGTATTTCTGGGTTCAGTTGTTGATTGTTGTCATTTTAATGTTCATAGTTTTGATCTTCTTTTTCTTTAAGATTTTATTTCTTTCTTTTTAGAGAGGGAAGGGAGGGAGGGAGGGAGGGAGGGAAAAAGAGAGAGAGAGAGAAACATCAGTGTGCGGTTGCTGGGGGTCATGGCCTGCAACCCAGGTATGTACCCTGACTGGGAATTGAACCTGCAACACTTTCTTTCGAAGCCCATGTTCAATCCACTGAGCTATGCCAGCCAGGGGTAATGATTTTCTTTTTCTTAAATAAGTTCCTGTAACATTTCATACAATAATGTCTTAGTGATGATGAACTCCTTTAGTTTTACTTTGTCTAGGAAGCACTTTATCTGCCTTTCCATTCTAAATTATAGCTTTGCTGGATAGAGTAATCTAACTTGTGGGTCCTTGACTTTCATGAATTTGAATACTTCTTGCCAGTCCCTTCTTGCCTGCAAGGTTTCTTTTGAGAAATCAGCTGATAGTTGTATGGGAACTCCTTTGTGGGTAACTCTTCTCTTTTCTCTTGCTGCTTTTAAGATTTTCTCTTTATTTTTAACCTTTGGCATTTTATTTATGATGTGTCTTAGGGTCTAACTTGTTTGTGACTCTGTGTGTATCCTGGACTTGTGCTTTGCCAAATTAGAGAGATTTTCTTTCATTATTTTTTCAACTAAGTTTTCCATTTCTTGCTCTTCCTCTTCTCCTTCTGGCAGCCATATGATTCAGATGTTGGCGCGCTTGGAGATGTCCCAGAACCTTCTTATACTCTCCTCATTTTTTTTTGAAGTGTTGTTTCTTCATTCCATACTGGTTGACTATTTCTTCTTTATGTTCTAAATTTTTGGTTTGAGCCCTGGCTTCCTTCCCTTCACTGTTGGTTCCTTTTGACTTTTTCTTTATTTCACTTAGTGTAGCCTTACTTTTTTTCCCTTGTGCATTTGCTCTACTCAGGGAGAATTCTAAGCATCCTTATCACCAGTGTTTTGAACTCTGCATCTGATATGTTGGTTATGTCTTTTGCTTAGTTTTTTTTCTGGAGTTTTGATCTGTTCTTTCATTTGGGCCATATTTCTTTGTCTCCTCAATTTGGCAGCCTCTCTATGTTTGCTTCTAAGTATTGGGTAGAGCTGCTTTGACTCCATCTTGGTGCACCTGTTACGTTGTAGGGGGCAGAGCCTTAAGTATTCACCAGGGTGGGGCAACCTGCTTTGTAGCTTTGTGGCTCAGTGTGTAGGGGAGGGATCTATGAAGGAGCAATGCCACTTGCTCTGCTCTCGCTCCATTTCCAGTCAGTTACTCCACTTCCTGTATGCAACTGGCATCCTTATAGCTGCTTCCTTGGTGCTGAATCCCAGAGTGGGTGGATTTGCATATGTTTTAGGGCTGTGTGGTTCCTTTAAATGGACTCTCCTGAAGGATGTGAAGTTTCTTCTGCCACCCCAACCCCCACTGGTTTTTATGGCCAGAAGTTATGAATCTTTATTATCCTGGCACTGGAACCCTGGGCTGTGCATTCTGGCCTGGGGCTGCAATGGCTCACTCCCCAGGTGTCCCTCCTGGGTTTTATTTGCCACAAGTGAATGTGGGACTGCCCATTCCGCTGCCAACCACTGCTGTTGCCTCACTACCACCACCACACAGAATCCTCTCCGCCCAGCTCTCCATGTCCGCCCCTTCTACCCATCTGGATGAATGTGGCTTCTTCAAATCCTTGGTTTTCAGATTTCCATACAGTTCGATTTTCTGGCAGTTCTAGTTGTATTTTGCTTTGAGGTGAGCTGTGATCCTTCTTATGGTTGTGCGAGGAGGGAAAGTCTATCTACCTATGCCTTCATCTTGGCCAGAAGTCAGAGCCTTACATTTTAGCAAATAAGTTATTAAAAAAAATACTTAACTGAATTTTGAATGTCATAGGGATCTTGAAGGGGTAGTTATGTAAGTTAAAGAGATTTTATTTTAATTTAAATTTCAAAATACATAAAATCTTCCTATAGGTATTTGAAGAAACTGGAGAATTTAAACCTTCATTTTTAAGATACTCTTTGAAACATGAAGAGAATTGGAGTCAGCATGTTCTGCACTATAGGAAAGACTGCTGTTGCGAGTCTAAAGAGCAGTGATAGTCACAGGGTGCATCTGACCCACAGCTTTTGGGCAGAGCCTTCCACTCTCTCTGCTCGGCCTGCGCTCTTCCTGTTCCCTCAGTGTTAGCTTCCAGCATATATGTAAGGGACTTTATGTATTTAACTTGTTAGGTACAGTTTATATATTTCTTGTTCTAAAGATGAGAAGGTAAATATGTAACATTTTAGAAAAACAGCCACCTCTTTGAAAGCTAAATTAAACTGGTTTTTAATTTGTGTAGTTCTGAATTAAACTGATTTTTTTTCTGTATTAAAAAATTCTTTCCCTTTTTACTTTAGTTGACTTTTCTGCTAAGAAAAATATCATCACTTCATTAATAATAGCAGCTTTGCTGTATCTTTAAAATGATTAGTTTACATTTGTTTTATTAATCTTCTGAATGAGAAGGATAGTAGAAAAGGTGTTATGGTTAATTTTCTGCTTTTACTGTGGATGCTGAATGGCAGAACTGTGTGAAAGAAAAATATATTATTTACAATAGGGGTTATTTCTGATCAAGGTAGTTATTACAGCAGAGAGAGAGAGAACATCCTTATCAGGGAGGACAAAGCAAGAATGACCATAGGTCTTAAGAAAGGCATTCCTATCTAGGTGATCATCAGATCAGGAGCTTAGAGTAATGCATTAGGAAATTGGCCCAGTGGCAAACTTAAGAAGCATTTACTTTTAGGTGCCAGCTTCAGGTCACATGACAAAGAGTATGGCAATCATTCTAGTAACAGTTTACCAAGTCCTCAACATTGTCCTCTGACCTTTCTGTGCATTGACTCATTAATCTTCACAACAACTTTGAAAAGAAACAAACAAGCCTCTTGGCCCAAGTTCACACTCATCCCTGCCAAAGCCGGCTTCTGTCCCAGTCTTGCCTAACGGGGCAACGCTAGCAAACCACTGCAGCGTGGAAGGGACAAGAGTCCTTTGTTTCTTTACAGAATTTTCACTTGTAATAGGCATGTCACAGAATGACAAAGTATAGATGAATAAATATCAGGAAAGAGAAGGAAAATAAGTGGTTTATTTCTTCTTAATGCTTCTTCCCACTTGAGGGAAAAAAAGATTCTGGTTTCATACTAACCAAAAAAAAAGGTACTACATATGGCCCTTTATAGTGTATGTTAGAAAACACTACACTGATCAGATAGACTGGTAAAAAAAAAAGTTCTAATTACAGTGTGATTTTTACAATACATACAGTTTACAACATCACATTCAATGGTTATTTAAGGATGATATTTTTTTAAAAAAAAACCCTTTATCTTAAATAAATAAAGTAACACAAACCTTTAGGAATTGAGGTTAGTTTTGCCTCTGCAATTCTGATATGGAACACTGTCACCCCTTCAAATGCCCCTGGCTCAATTCCGTTGCTCTCAAGAGGATTTGCACTCATCTCTGTGGGGAGGGGGGGAATTACATAATTTAGATACATATGTTTTACTAGAATGAAACTCAATGCAGAGAGATACACACCCAAAAAACAGGAGAATTGTTTAGACTCATTTCTGTTTCTGTGTTTACTCACCTTTTTGTCAGCCTGGAAAAAGATGGCTTTGTATTATATAGGCTGGACTATATAACAGGTTTACTGTTTTGCTTTGAATTACTAAATTAATCAATTATCACTCTCTTCCAACCATAAGCATGATCCAGGATTCATTGTAGTAATATTACATTAGAAAAAAACAGATCCTCCTACATATAATTCAAAATATTTGTATTTGCTAGTATACATTAATTTGTTACCTAAACTTTTAAAATTATAAGTCATTTAGAAACTGTTACTTATTAACAGAAAGAAAAGTTAGGAAATGACAGTAAGTGATGCTGATTGAATGAAAGAAGTGAATAAATGAATAAGAATATTGGTTATGAATTTTGAATGTATATTGTTGGAGGAGATGGCATTCCATTAATGTTAAAAGTAAAATAAGGTATAATTTAAAATTTGCAACCAAAATTTTTTAGCTCAGTAATCTTAAAGTAGATAATGAAAATTTAAATGTACATTCCAGACAATATCTGAATTAATTTTCTACATTGTGTTTGAGTACTTTGTACAATACATTAAAAATACTACCTTTAAATTTAATAATAACACATTTAACCAATGAAGGGGCAGTCAGAAAACAGAAACCACACTAAATATTTAAGAGGGAGGAGTCTTGAAAATTAAAATGTGTGTGTATTACAAAAGGCATCTTTCGGTGCTATAATTTTCAATATTTGAATTGATTTGTAAATGGCTTATCTCAGTAAAGATTATTAGGTTCAAAAGTTTAATTTTGGGTCCTGGTTAAGTTGCTGAGTTGGTTGGAACATCATCCCATGCACCAAAAGATTGTGGGTTCAATCCCAGGTCAGGGCATGTTCTGGATACAACCAATCGAAGTTTCTCGGTCTCACTCTCTTTTTATCTGTGTCTCTTCTTCTCTCTCTAAAATTAAGAGGCATGTCATCAGGTGAGGATTTTTAAAAATAATTAATTAATTTTGGAAATTATCAGTCTTAAAAGTTGTTAATGATGACAAAAATCTCTACCTCTGTATATAAATTATAATTTCTAAATGTCCCATTATTTGCAAAAACTTACCCAGAACATGTAAAGCATTCATTCCTTTGAATGTTTCCTTTTGTATTTTCTTAACTTTATTATCATGAATTCTGAGTTCTGCTAATGATTTGGGAAGATTAAGTGGTATTTCATTTAGTTGATTGTGGGACAAGTATAGTCTTCTCAACTTTTTTGTGGTTAGAAAGGCTTTTGGGTGAATCTTTGTTAGCTTGTTGTTGTTGAGGATCAAAGCCTAGATGAAGCATAAAAAGTTATACCACATTAGGAAGTGGATTGATTTACCAGTATTATACAGTGATTAGTCACTCGTGGAAATCAGTACAAGTTAGATCATTTGGTATACTTGATTAATCATTTAAATAATTCCTCAGCCTAATCTAAACTTTCTCTCTCTCCCCATAAATATATATATATATTTACTACTGAGTTGGAACAGTGCAAAGCTATAATGACTGTTTTTGTGCCTTTGGTTTATCTTTGAGTGGGTGATGTGTTCTCATGGTAGAGGCACCCTCCTGTTTCCACTTCCCTTTATGGAAGTGGTTGGTAGTATTATTTTTATCTTACCTTAAAGTTTGTTCACTCTGCGTAATTAAGTTTAACCTCACTTTTTTCATGTTTCCTAATGTTTGCCATTCTTCTTAGAATATAGACCTGTCAAAATAAACTCCTAAAAAGTGCCCTCCGACATATTTAAAACATTGGGAAAACAGTGGTGAGACTTTAGGAATGACTTAACCCTTCCTCACTTTACTGGTTATTTCTCAGTGTGATATGGCAGCACCTTTTAGAGGTGACAGTAGCCCCGAGAGGGAAAACTTATAGCATCAGACTTCTGCGTTCCTCACAGTCACACCGTTTGTGTCTTGCTGAGGGTGCTGACTACCACACTCTTAGTCCCCTAGGATGTGTAAACTTCAGAACCAAAACTGGGAAAGTTCTTGGCAACCAGGACTTGTCAGTCACCCTAGTAATTATTTTCACTGCAAAATGAACATAGCTTAGTCCTTGTTTTACTGCTAGATTTTGCAAGTGTTTCCTCAGAGTGAATGACCTGTGGCTTAGAATTCCTTAGGATTTTTATCTCTCCCTATTAATCTATCAGGGAACAGCTCTAGATTCTTTGCATTTATGAATTTTGTCCCCAGTCCCATTCTATAGCAATCTTCCCTTTGTTTTCTCATTGTGTTAATATGCTTTTCCAATGTCATTCATGTTGTTGTTATTGCACAGAAGAAATACAAAAAAATGTTTTGGCAGTTAAACTCTATTATGTTTACTCATTTCCCTGCACTTTGCTCTTCCTGTTACATGCAGTTCCTGTAGGCTGCCTCTGTAAGGGGCCCCAAAGGAAATGTATGCCTCAGTTAGAGCCACCCATCGTGTCTGGGGTTTGGGGTTATTCCCCACCTACCCCTCCCCAATTAAGACATGCAGTTGTCAGAGTTTCATAAAAGGAAGTATACGTATTATAAAATGGGATAAGAGTTTTTATGTAGTGCCATCAAAGACTTCCTCAGCAAGTTAGGTGAGCAGACTCTCTCCAGTTAAGCTGTACTTTTAAATGTTGACTCTTATATAAAAGTTCCAAAAGTGGCAGTCACAGAGCTCCAAACAATGCTGTTCTATATAAGGCCTGCACATGAGGAAAATATAGCCTTTCAGGAGTAGGACAATATAATGAAGGTGGCTTCACATCCATTAATAATGGTCTGGAAGTGAACTGTGAGTGTTATGTTTGTATAATGATCTCACTCGTTCTTTAATGCTTATATTGTCCTTTGTGTAAGAACCACAGTGCTAAACAAGCAGCTCAAGCATAATATAGAGAATTTATAGATTATCTAAAAAAATTTTGATTCTCTTTAAAGACAGGTACCGATGATATAATTAAATAAATGTTTTGAAATACACAATATGCCTACAATTCCAGTATAAAGTATGTGCTTTAAAAAATATTTTAGCCCTGGCTGGTGTGCCTCAGTGGTTAAATGCTGGCCTGCAAATCAAATGGTCATCGGTTCGATTCCCAGTCAGGGCACATGCCCGGGTTGCAGGTCAGGTCCCCAATAGGGGGCAGGCCACAGGCAACCACACACTGATGTTTCTCTACCTGTCTTTCTCCTTCCCTTCCCCTCTCTAAAAAATAAATAAATAAAATCTTTTTTTTAATTTTAAGTATTTTACATTAGGACATTGGCCAGTCCAGAAACACTAGGCTGGTGGCAATAATAGTTAATGGTTGCTTGCTGGTCGCCTTACACGTATTTGCTCATCTAGTATAAATAAACATTCTGAGTTCCCTGCTATTGTTACAGCCCTTTTACAACTAAAAAGGTTGGGCTCAGAGAGGTGAGCTACCTTCCCAGTGCACTTCTGGTGGAGCTGATATCTGAGCCAGGCCTGCCTGACTGTGGAACCCTTAACTTCCAGTGCAGTGCCACATAGAAATGGACTAAAAAGGAAATTAAGGAGGGCCTAAGATAGCTCCTGTCATCTTCTCAACTTTTATTTACCAATGATTAACAGGACTACATGTGGACTAAGTCCCTGTATTACTCCTGAAATATAATAAATAATGATGTGACAAATGAAAAACTTTATGATTTTGGTGTTAAATGTGGCATTAATTATTCTTGTGGTGTATAGCTGAATATAGGCTGAAAAAGTGGTAGAAGCATTCATAGGCTATATTTCCAACTTACAAGTTTAGAATAATGGCCTTGCCATTCTCTAAAAGTTTCTGTGGTCTGAAGTGAATAGGGTAGACTGGATGGATCCTTGATGGAATCCATTGTGCTATTTATATTTCTGATTATCTTAATATTTAAGTTAGTCTTCGGTTGTGCAATAAGTATATACTCTTTCAGGTTCTGTGTGTGTGTGTGTGTGTGTGTGTGTGTGTTATGGTATATATGAAGCTTAACCAAATTCGAGCTGTCTACACAGTACATTTAAAAGGGAAGGGAGCAATCAGGGTCCCACGAGCCCCGATGCCTGGAAGTGCAGAGAAGAGAATGGCTTTGCAGGGAGGCTGACTTGGCTCCATACAGGGGCCACTCCTTCCAGGCAAGAGGGCTGAGCTAGAGAGCCTAGGAAATAGCATACCTCCAGGTGCCTAAAACACAATCAGCTTGATTGTCCTTGCTCATCTAGCCAACACACAGACACTGGTTTGCATAATGGGACTCAATAGTCCCCTATTCCTGTGTGCTGGGATAGGTCAGTATGGTTCATGCACTGACCCAGGGTAACTGGTAGGCAGGGTGGCCTCAAGTCTTTTAGATTCAGAAAGATAACAGGCCTACTTGGCTGGTAGCAAGAAAGATGGTCATGGTATCTCTACCTTCTCTTACAGATACCCCTTTACTGCAGCTGACAGCTTTTGCATTTCCTCTCTCCAGTACAGCATGAGAACGTGGAGAGACTGAAGTAGCAGTATCAGCTGAACACCCACTGAGGGGAAGAGATGACACCCATGCTTGTGACAGTGTGGAATCAGGCTCTCCCGCAAACTTAATTCCAAATTACATTAGAAATTTTACTTGATAAAATCTACAGGCTCAAAATGTTAAAAAGAGATAGTAATCTTTTAAATATTAGAAAATTAAAATATTAATAAATATAATAAGAAATTTTTTCATTTTTAAAAATTTAGGAAAAATACCATATAAGTATATATTAGTCAGTTGGCTATATTGCATGTGCTACTGTTAGACATTTGTGGTGCCTTAAGATAAATCATTTGGTTCAGGTACAAATTTTCTTAAATCTGTATGTTGAGTTCTTGTAAATAATCATAATCTTACTCATTTTATTGTATAGTGACTATGCTTACCTAAATAGATCATAAGCTCATTTAAGGACCATTTACTTAAATTTTAGCCCACTGCCTTTCACCTGGCTATTATTCAATAAACATCAGTTTAATTAAATTATTAATTAAATCTATAATTTTTTATTAACTAGAACACCCCTGAATGGCAGGCATTTTGTCATTCTTTACACACAGAAAAATAAGACTTGTTTACATGAACACAATAGTAGTAATTATTAGTAGTGATAGAGATTTTCACTTAAATATTTGAAAATATTAGCATGTATTCTTACATAAAGTGAAGAGAGTCCTTTAAAATCATTTTCTTTGATTTCCTTAATTTTATTGTTTTGAAGGTCAAGCATTCGAGTATCAAATGGAATGTTGCTTGGGACGGAGGACAAACCTGAGAAATAAATAAACGTGTTACACACACCTTATATGCTGAAGAGGTGAATTGAATATGTTGGAAATGTAAATTTGTTAAAAATCCATGGTTACCATTAAGTAGCAGATGACTTAACATGTAACATATGACAAAAGTATTGTTCTTTGGAAAGGCCTAAAGACCTTTTCCAGTAATTTATTTTTACAATGTCTAGCTGGGGCTAGCTGACACTGTTCATCTGCTGCAGGTGGCATAAAATAGAGGTAAACTGCATTGTGGCAATTAGGACTGGGAGAAAGTGATCAACAGCTTCTGCTGTTGCACTTTTGGCTAATGAACATTCAAGTTCTTTGCACATTTTCAGTCTGTTGTGGTACTGAATTGGATCCTGTGGGCTTTGATCATTTTAAGAAGCCTAAATATATATAATGTTTTGCTTAGAAAAATAGATGAATTACATTATTCTCATTCATATTATCAAAAATTTACTGCCCACTTTCTTTAATAATAAACTTCAAGTTATTGTTGACATCTAAGTGTGCAGTATAGCTTTAGTGAATTTATCATCCACAGCATTGGTTCTTTTTCAGCCATATGCTCCAGTTTTAAGTTACCTGGGCCCACCTATTAGTCACCATTCCTCTTTTCAGGTACAAGAATAGCTTCCTTTTCTGTCATCTTAGATCAAGGTACAACTACATCTTTTTTGTGTAGGCACTCAATAAATATTAATTAAATTATTTTAAAAGACTTAAATGTATTTTTTGCTTCTTGAATTGAAGAAAAAAGGCAGAAAATTACCAGGATCTCTACATAGTGCATTTGTTCCTTACTTTTTTTGCTTTTCCTAGATGGCATTTGTTCCTTACCTTTTTTGCTTTTCCTAGATGTCCACCCCTACTTGTTGTCAGACTTCTCATACTATAGTTAATGCTTGATGAGTATGGGGCCTTGTTTTCCCCCAATATTTTATTGTTTAAATGTAACATTCAGAAAAGCATAAAGAATTTTACAGTGAAAACCCATATTCTTTCTACCATCAATATTTTACTGTACAAACTGTCCATTATTTCATCTTTTTTATGCATTTTAAAGTGAGTTTCAGATATTGGCACACTTTTGGTGGAGCCATCCTTACTCCTTAGGAGAGGTGTTATATTTAATAGCCCCAATTGAAGAATTCCATGTCTAAATATTGTGACTATCAATACTTCGCTCCACAGCCTTCCCTCCATACTTTAAGACTGACACCTCTTTTGAGAACATGCCAAAGGAAAAGGGGATTAGTAAATTGATGGGCTAACATAGTAGCAGTTTTGTTAGGACATTATTTTTATTTTAGAAATTGAAGTGGAACGTCTCATAGGAAGCTGGAAGTCCTGCAGAAGAGCCTGATAACATAAACTTTGACAAAACTTCCCCCATCCTGCCCTTGGTGAAATTAGGTGCTCTGGAAAGAATTTCAATTTTCTTGGGGAGAAAGAGCAGTAAGCATCCAAGCCTTTTCATTGTCAAAGGTCATGGGGGAGGTACAGTATACACTGCTAATGATGAGATATCATTTAAAGGTGTGTGTCAGTACAGATTTTGTTGAGTTGATTTTTATTTTATAAGATAAATATTCAGGAAAACACGATTTACAACCAGCTGTCTATCATAAGATAGTTTTTTTTCTCAGTTCTTTCATGACAGTCGTGTACTAGAGCAGAGCTATGTAATACGATATTTCTCCAAAATCTTTGTATTGAGGCAGATGACTTTGCTCTGGAGCAAATATGAAGGCTGTCACATAAGGATGGCCTGTGCTAAAGATGAACCTGTCCTTACTCGCAATCATGTATACCTAGCTGTGTCAAAGTACGTATGTACATTTTTTTAGTGGTTTTAGTTTTACAAAGTATTTTCACATGTACTAACTAACTGTGCAGACTGATGGTAGAATTGTTTCCTGCCTGGGAAGCAGCTTAGAAATGACAGTACATTCTGATATTTTCTAACTATAACCTTTTCTCATACCAGGGTCTGTCTCAGCTTCCTCATTTCTCCTTCCTGCTGCTCTTCCCACACCATTCTCCATGCACTTCCAGACGAGCTTGTCTCAAGTATTGCTTTATCTTTTGTTCACACCAATGCCAAAAGTAAGGCTTAAAGTCCCATTTTTTCCTGCCCTGTATATTCCATTAACACTTTCCCACTGATTTTAGCTAACAATCTTTTCCTGAATGCTTTTTATTCACCTCTCTCATTTTGTCTCTAGATTGTATTGTAACAAGCTTTGACTAGTGCCACAAATTCTATAACAGTAGGAAGTGAGTCTAAAACTTTCAGAGGCACCATATGCTCATGTGCACTCTGGAAGTTGCCCTGATGGGCCACCAGCTCCAGAATGGGAGATTTGTGCCAGACCTTGGCTTACTATAATGTGGCAGATTTGAGTCGTCCCCTCTTTTGGAAGTAGGTGAATATAGTTACTCTTGATGTTAATTTCCATCACGTCCTCTTTTTGAGCAGGCTATAAGTGTGTCCCTCTATTTGAGAACACCTTAAATAGAGGTATTCAAAAATAAAATACTCAGCAGAGAATTACACATTTTAAGAGATTTTTTAAAAATAACAGTTTAGCCACTTCTTTCATAGACAGTTCTAAACTCAGATCACTCAAAACAAATAGAGAATTGTCTTTAAAATACATAGATTAGGGATTTCACAACTCTGTAACATATTTTTTTTTTAAAGTTTTCAATGATCTCAGGAAGACAAACAACCTGATTAAAAAATAGGCAAAGGACCTGGAACAGACACTTCTCTAAAGATTACATGCAGATGGCCCATAGACATATGAAAAAATGCTCAACATTACTAATCCTCAGAAAAGTGCAAATTAAAACCACAATGAGATACCACCTCACACCTAGCAGAGTGGCTACCATCAATAAATCTATAACTTATTCATTGTCCTGGACAGCTGATTAAATTTGTTATTGTAGAATTTTACTGAAAAGCACAATCTTAACCTGCTAACACCCTGAGTGAGGAAACTGCCATAATATCCATTCTTTCTGAAAGAAATGAAAATGAAGCACTTTGGTTTAAATTTGGGAAGAGAAAGAAATGTTCTGTGTATGAAATTCTCATTGTTTTCCTCTAATTTTTTTTATTTTTAAAATCAGTTTGGATGTACTTTGGGGTTTATTATACTTTTCAAAAATTCAAATGAAAAGTTTATTACAATCATTGAGTTGATGTTTGAAATTTCAATGGAGACTTTTCCTATTTATTTTTGTCAGAATGATGTTATTCTCCACAACAAGTTGACATGTTCTTACCTAGATCAGAACAGTGTACAACTCTTGAGTAGCACTGGCATCCAAACGGACAGATTGGAAACAGATTGAATGGGAAGAAAGGGTTAATTGACTCTCTGGTTGGAAAAAGAGAGTTGTCAGCATCAGCATCACCTTCATCTTCCATGTCCTTCAGCATCATATTCTTCAGCATCATGTACGAAGGGCGAAATAAGGGTTTGGCAGAGCACAAAGCCAAGAATACTAGGAGCACACACTCCTTCATGTTGTCTTGTGTCCTATGACTAAGTAGACATTGAAGATTAAATTAAGGGTTAAACATACAATTTCTGCAAATGTGTATTTCTCAGAGCTGGTAAAAGTACAATGAAATGTCATTCTTACCATTGCTAGTGTAAGAGTAAATTTATAAAACATTTTGGAAAGCAGTTTAGCAGTATGCATTAGAAGCTTTAAAAAGATCTTTGTTTTTCATGTAGTAATTACTTTTTAGAATCTAGTCTCAGGAAATAATCCTAATGTGTATAAAGATGTTCATCATAGAATTATATATGATAGCAAAAAGTTAAAGGTAATGCTGTGGTTAAGTGGAAATAGTAAAATAGGGTATATTCGTAAAATACTTTGTAACCCACAAGGTATTTGCATAGATGTTTAAAAATATGAAATGTTACTGTTTTTGAAATGAAAAACAAATATAAAAAATTCAGACATACCAAACAAACAAAGTCCCTGACCCAAATATACCTAATTGATTATAATTTCTGGGTAGTAGAACAATGAATAAGTTAAGAGTCTTTTTTTTTTTTTTTATAATGAGCAGTAAGTGCAGCCTTTATAGTTAGGAAACTAATAAATGTTTTTAAAAATAAAACCAGATCATCATACCTGGCTGTTTCCAAATCCTTCCATGGCCTTAATATCTATGTCACTTTCAAAGTAAAATCTTCATGTCCCTTTGGCACACATCCAGAAGTTTTCTTTAATGTAAAGTAAATCTCTCTCTTACTCCCCTCCCCAGCCTCAGTCTCAGAGTTGGTCATTTTTTCCACAGTGTCGTTTGATTTTCTTCCTCTAATCTGTTCCATTGTCTAATACCTGATCCAAACTATCTGAGGTCCAGAGTATTCTTTCTTACCCATCTTTCCACTGTGTACTGTTTGTTTGGTTTTATAGGGGGGATTTGTTTTTAGTTGTATTTTTTAAAGTCCACACAAAACTGGAATGTATGAGAGATAATCTTTTGAACATGGCTTTTTGTTAATCTGATTGTGGATATTCCCACAAGTTTGTTTACTTATCATAGTTTCTTAACTGTCACCTGTGAAACATACATTCTTGGTAATTTTTTAAAAATTAAAGCATTATGAAATCATCCAAAAGAGATTTATGCCTGTCTTCATTCACTCACCCAGATGTCCCTCAGCCACGTCACCCAGCAGTGCCATTGGCCTGCCATGCCTAAGCACGAGACAGCACCTTAGGCAGGAGTTGGCCCAGCCTTAGGAAGACCTGGCCCCCGCATCCTTGAATCATGCAAGCTGCTTAGACTTTCCCAGAACCCCGACATCAGCTTTAACATCTCTTTTTCTGGACTTAAGAATCAGAAGTGAATTAACTAAATTAAAACATTTATTTATATGAGGTGTGTCTTTTAATCACCAGAGAAAGGTTAGCATTAATTCTTAGAATTCTAAATAACAACATGAACATTTTTCCACCTGGGTGGCTGAATGTCACCAGCCCAATACATGAAGTTTCCCTGTTGTGCTAGGAAAGAGGAGATTATAGGATATGTCTGAGAATGGCAAAAGCTTTTTATATTTTAATAATTCTATTCTGAAATCCCATTTCAGAACTCTGCATTGGCTTGTGGAAATATCAATTAAGAATTTATTATAGATGCATCCCTTACATTAACCTGGAGGAATGGGATGTGCAAAGAGCTTCCGTGGCTTCCCTAAGACCACGTGACCAAAGAAAATTGGAACCCGAGTTAGAGTCCATTTTTCCCAACTCATTCTTTGTATTTTCTAATACAGCCCATGTGGGAACACTCTACTTTTATCCCAAAATCTAGTGGCCTCATAAGCACACTCTGTCATTTCTTTCTCTCCAGCCAGTCTAGACATTGTTTTCTGGTACATACCTGTACGGAAAGGGGCTCACATATAGCTTGAGTTGGGAGAATGGGAATGGGAGTAGTTATGTGGTCAGATTTGTATAGTACAGAGAGAGATTGTGCTAGCAGCTCAAAGCCCAGCAGCTTCTGTCAGCTATGCCAGAGAACAAGCAGGTTAGTATTCTGTATTCCTGGAATCCTGGCAGTTTGGGGCAACTGAGCTTCTTTTCCAATATCACTTTGTCTCTGGTACATTATTTCTGTTTCTTGGCTGCCTGCCTAACTTTATACATTATGTTTCTTGACCTTACTCTTCTTTGTATAAGGTCAAGAAATGCTTGGTCCCCAGTTTTTACCTTGACCCCCAAAACTCTCAGCTAATTCAGTTCTTAGTCCTTGAACCTAAACCAAAGCTTATCCCTGGTACCAATTTATTTTTTAACATTGTTCTGCATTTCAGCTATGTTTTCTGGGGCCATGACAGCCCTGACTTTTTCTGTCCTTGGCATAGAAGCTGTTGAATGAAATGCCATTTGAGATCCTGTCTCTGGTTTTGTTTGGGGTTGCTGGAGTTTTTCACTAGACATCTATCAGGTACTGCTGTGTACCAGACTGGTACTAGGATGTGAAATCTGTGAAGTAGAGCATATCTGGGCACTCATTCCTGTTCGGAAAACAAAGCCACAGCCCATAATGTGCTACTCTTTTTGTAAAAGTTCATACTTGGTCAGGTAAATTAATAGAAAAACTAAAAAATAAATGTCCAAGTTAGTAAATAGGACTAAACTGCAAGTAAACTGTGCTGTGTAACTGGTTTGATCAGCTTGGAGGAATCTCCAGATGTGTGGTTCTTAGAGTCTGAAAGTAAAATTTTCACAAGTCTGTCTACTCTTCATAGCCTTAGCTTACTCTTTGAGATCATTAGAAATAAAGACATCTATATAAAAAAAGTATACACACATGTGAAAAGAAGATTGAAATAGAATACACAAACCTATTAAAGAGGGGTAGTTAGATTATGAGTGAAGAATTATGTTGCTTTCTAAATATTTTAATATTAGCCTGCAAACAAATAGGCCTCCTATTTGCTTTGGTTCTCCCTGTATTTTGGGCTTTTTCTACTACTTCTACAGCGTGAGACATTTAGTGCAATTAAAAGTTTTTCACATACTGTTCCCCCAAAAGTCCAATAACAGTGCTCATCTGGGAAGTTGTTTCCCATGGAAACTGGGACTTTAATTTTTTGAGGCCTAACCCCATTTACTGTAATCCCTGGGAGATGAAGAGTTTGATAAAAACAAACAAAAAAACTGTTTGAGTTGGTGGCTGTTTAAGTTTCAGTATTTTCTTATAGAAACTTAAGAGGTTGAAGGGTTATAGTTTCCCAGTCTAGACCAGAAAAATCTATTTAGCACCTATATATATGAAAATACACACCTACCAAAAAACCATAGAGCTTTTAAAAATACATGTAAGAGGAATGTGTTAGCCAAAGTGGGAAAAAAAACAGGAACACATAGGCATTCCCTGTGGCCTGGCAGACAGGGACTTCCCTTCAGTTCTGCAAACCCTACCTTCCTTTCTCTTCCTGCTGTAGTCATGTTGCCCTGTAACCTAGGAGAACCTGGGAATGGGGTGCAGGCTAGGATGAGGAACAGAGCAGGTAACACATAGAGGAGCAGAGCTGGAGGACCCAGACAAGCCAGTCACACAGATGACCGGGAGGAAAGAAACTGTGTGTTTTGGGGCAGGGTTGTTTCTCTTCCATATCCCCTCCTCCTGACTAGCTCACCCGTGGGGTCAGGAGGCTCCTCCCTTCCTTTCTTTCTTCCATACTCTCCTTTCTTACACTAAATAGTTAGGTGAGACCCTCCCTGCCTTAGATGAGGTGGAGACTCTGGCCTGCTGATTAGACAGTGGCACATATGTGGTAGTTAGGAAGCTTTCCAGTTGATGGCTGGTGGGGGCAGTGACCTGTCATGCCTTCTGAGGCCCTTAGTGAGTGAGACCTGTGGAAGCAGGAAATGTCATCTAGTTGGAACTTCCTTCTAGTGTTGGAGGTTCCTCCAGAACACTCTGGACCAGATAGTGTGTTCACTGCTTGCTTGACTCTAGTGAGAGAAATCAGGGAGCATACCTCATGGAGAGGCATCCAGTTTCCATTGTTGTCCATCTGTGGTTGATAGGAAATTCTTTATATTGAAACCAAAAATGCCTTCTGGTATATTCATCTGTCTTTACTAGTTCTGTCTTCTATTAGCCATGTAAAATTAATCTTATATTTTTTTATTCTCATATTCTGGTTACTTGAAAAGAGAAGTCAGACGAAACTTGATTTCACGAGGAACTCAACATTTACGCCCTTGATCTGAGATGCTAAAGCCTTTATAAAGTACACGAGATTATAGACCCCAAACCTTACCTTATTTTATTTTAGCAATTTTTTTATCAGTAGAAAAATATTGGAATGTCCAGAAGAGAATACTATATAGTAATGGGTCTTTCCTTATTTTCAGAAAGAATATAAAGAATAATAGTTCTCATTTAAAATGATGTGACTTTTAGGTGTTTGTCTTATTTTAAATTTTGAGTGTATTAATATACACTCAAGTTCTTACTTGATTAATTTTGGCAGTATTTAAATCTTGGTCTCAGGAAGACTCAGTATTTTCCCAGTTTAGACCAGTGTTGCCGAAGGTTTTTACTCATGGAAAGATGTGGATTTTGGTTTCAAGTTTCTCTTCATCAGAATAATATTTGGAATATTATTTTGATACTAATGCTGTTATTGATTGAACCATGGCACATTGGAGACTTTTCTTCCATTGCCCTCTTTGACATCCTAAGAAGCCAGTCTCCTCACTCCTGCACTGTCTGTACGGCCACCTCCCAAGTCCTCATCCCACAGTGACTTCCAGATAGTAGTAGCCAAATTGTCCTCAGATAGCACAGGGTAAGAAGTTTGCCCTGTTTGTTTTCAGGACTGGAAATGAGGCGAGGAAGTGTCTTTCTGAATTTGTACAAGCTCCTGTTTTCCACTTCAACATTCCACAAACTTAGAGTGGAAAATTTATCTAACTGAAATGGTATTTCCTCTTAGACACTATTATTAAGAAAATAAGTCACTGTGCTTATAACTCCTGTGTTTGGCAACATTTCCCTTTGGCTGAAATATTTCTATCAGTTCTCAAGTGCCAGTATGTTTCAGTATATAAATATTATATAACATACTCTGTGCATTCATAGATGGAATCTAGACTAAATTCAGGTGTAATCAAGGCAGAGCCTTATAAGGGAACAAGTAAGGTTAACATCCAAGCATGCATTTGGAAACTTATTCACAGTACCTTTTGGTCATGGAAACATACTTTTATAGACTATACTTTTCTTAAAGAAATAATTAACTTTATCTTAGAAGTATAAATAGCATCTCAATAAAGAACTTGCTGGCTGCTTTTCCTTTTATATCAGTTTTGTCCTTCATCAGTTTTTCAGTGCATCTAGCAACATAGCTGCTGTCTTAAAAAGCAAAAATTCCTACCTCTTCATTTTTCTGCTGTTTCCTATAGTGCCTTAAGACTTTTGCTTATAAAAGTAATCTCTCTTGCCTCAAATCCCAGATCAGATATCAAATATTCCTTTTTAATATTTTTTAATAAGCAGTAGTTAGTTGTAATAGAAAATTGCAGTCCTGTCATCTGCCCATCACTATACAATATTGCTAAATATCAAAAACAAACAAGATAAAAAGATACTTTCACATATATGTGCACTTTTGATTTATTTTTATTTCTTTTTTTAAACAGTGATTCTCAGTAGGATTAACTTTAGAAAGTACTTTATTTTGAGAGACATATAGAACCCTAAAGCTTCTTTATGACTTAATTCTACACATGTGGCCACAGTTCATGGCCACCACACATCTGATAGATGAACAAGAAAGAATGCTCTACTCTATTCATATTAGGAGGGAGTAGAATATCAAATACATTCCTTAGTCTTTTAAAATCTGAGATTTAATAAAAATTTTACTTTGGGATGACACAAAGGAAATTTTTGTTTTAAATTCAGACTTTATGGATTTTGTGAAAAGAAGTTCCTAATTTTTTATATTGAATAGAGAGCTAAACACTTGCTGAGCATTACTCTTTCTTGGCATTATATGGCTTCCATTTTAACTGGGCAGTGCCATTTCATTACAGAAGAATAAGAAAGACATTTATCAAGGGGAAATAGGAATATTCAAATGTAAGTGAAATGACATTTGAATATATATATTTAAAAATATATTAGAAAATAATCATAGTTTTACATTTCAAAAGAATTATTTACTGTTTAATTTAATGTATTTGTGATATTCTCCTACTTTCTAATCATTAGTTATTAAGGTAATATTATTTTCCTAAAAGAAGATCCAGATGTTTGCTTAAATGATTTGTTGAGTCAGTGATGTGAACATTGTTGGTGAAGCATAATGACAGGCTTTCATTTAGCTGTAAAAACAGTCACAATTATATTGAAAGTAAATTCATTATATGTAAAACATAAAAAGCTGTATTAACTTCAGATTGATATGTAATTAAGTACTGATTTTTAAAGAAATTATACAGATTAACTTTAAACTTTATCATATAATTTACAAACATTTAACAATACTAATGTGTCTATAATATTAACTATAAAATAATTGTATACTGGCACATGAAAAAAATACATGAAAACATACCTTGTAAGAAGAGAATAAGCCCTCTTGAAAGTAGAATTTTCCACCATGTACTGTTTATCTGTAATGTAAATATTCTCAGGTACTTTTTAAGAAGAAAAGACAAAGTGTTACATTTAAAAGAAAACCCTTCAGCAGAGCCTTGTGTGGCTGTACCCTGGGTGACACTGGAATAAGCTGCTTCTACAGATTAGCCCATGTTAGTACTGAGAAGCAAGATTAAAACTTGTTGCTGCTCATGTGTTTTTCATCACTGTTTGTATTGTAGCCAAGACTTCTAGCTAAACTCTAGACGTCTACTGGAAGATTCTGAAGAAAAAAAGTGTTTAATAATACATGGCAGCTGGCCATTGAAAATACAGTGATAGTCATTCAAGAAATACCTGATTTGAAAAAACACTTCATGAAATTCTTAAATGAATGAATACTGATCAATTATAAACTTAAAAAGTATTTACCTTATATAGACCAACAAAATACTTATCATTCTTAGTAAAGTATATAAACATTATTGAAGTATAAACCCAAACTCCAGAAGTATCGGAGACAGGAGCCATGCTGTTGTTTTCTTCTGGTGACTAAAGCTATTACATAAAGCATGCTTCTCAGTATTTTCTTTCAAAACTTTTAGACCTGCTCTAGGCATGGCAGGGGAGCTGCTGACCAGACCCGATGTAATGCCCCAGGTCTCTCAGCCTATATGCCATGATACAGGCATAGACACCTGAATGCAGGTGACATCTGCTTGGACTTTCCCTTTTCAAGAGAATATTAGCTGTGACCACACAGTTTTTAGGGAGGACTCAGGAGCAGAAAGACACCATTATCTGAGAAGAAAGTCGTTGTTAGCATACCCTTAGCCACTTACTCCTGAGAGAATGCCCAATTCCTACATCAAATGAGACATCGTCCTTCGAGAGAGAACATTTTCCTAAGTCTGGTGAGAAAGACTGACTAATGCTAGGTGATGCCAGTGGGTCTCCGGATTTTCAGATGTTGGGGCCAGCCTCTTTGCAGAGTGTATTTCCAGTCAGCAGGGTTTATTGTTTCCTGACGTAAAGATTCTGACTGTCCTTTCCCGCCTCCCAGAGAAATGGCAGCCACAACCATAGAGAGAGTACTGTGCCTCAAATGGGTGCGTGGCCAGCCCCCACCTAAATAAAATACCCCTCCTTGGAACTCAAGGTGGACAGTCTCCTATCCTGGGCCTGAAAAGCTTCAGGCCTGCAGCACCTGAAAGGTGGCAGTCCTCCTGTTTGGTTAGAACGCTCACATTCTCATTTATTCAGTTATGCTTAGTTCAAAACAAGGTATATGTGTTACCTTGATAAACTGGAACATCTTGAAAGTTGAACTGGATTTTATTAACCTGAGTTTCATCAGAGCAGCAGCTGTAAATGGAAAGCCCTTGGGAAAAATCACATTTGTCCTGCCCAATGTTTTCTTTCATTATTTAACTTTTAATTGAATTATATATTACAAAAATATGAACACATCACATGAACATACCTTTAGAAAAACCTGTGGTTTAGAAAAGTGAGGTTTTTCTAAAAGTATGTTCATATGATGTGGCAAATGTGATTTTTCCCTCACTTTAGAAAAACCTCACAAATAGTGAGGTAGTCTCTCTCCTCTCCTTACTTGTGAGCCCTGAGCTTGTCTTCCTCCAGCATCAATTAATTTTCACAAACTAAACTAAATCTCTGTGCTCCCAGAGCCCTCTACATAATCGCTCTCTCCAGAGGGGACCCTGCCTGTCCTCAATCACTATAGCCTATTTTCTGAACTTCACATAAATGAATCATTCTTACAGTACATTCTCTTTTGTATCTGGCTTTCTTCATTCACCCTTATGTTTTTGAGATCCATCTAAGTCCTTGTGGTTAACAATAATTTATTCATTTTCATTATTGTATGATATTCTGTTAATGAATATGCCACAGATTATATATTTTATATATAGTCAACCTGGTTCATTCCCATTTGTAGCAGAACTATGCACATTCAAACATTCTTTTTTTAAATATATTTTTAATATATTTTACTGATTATGCTATTACAGTTGTCCCATTTTCCCCCCTTCACTCCCCTCCACCCTGTATACCCTCTCCCACCCACATTCCCCCCTTTAGTTCATGTCCATGTGTCATACTTGCAAGTTCTTTAGCTTCTACATTTCCCATACTATCCTTACCCTCCCCCTATTTTCAACCTACAATCTATGCTACTTATTCTCTGTACCTTTTCCCCCTCTCTCCTCCTCCCACTCTCCTGTTGCTAACCCTCCATATGATCTCCATTTCTGTGGTTCTGTTCCTGTTCTAGTTGTTTGCTTAGTTTCTTTTGGTTTTGCTTTAGGTGTGGTTGTTAATAATTGTGTGTTTGCTGTCCTTTTACTATACATGTCTTTTCTTTATCTTCTTTTCTTAGATAAGTCCCTTTAACATTTCCTAAAATAAGGGCTTGGTGATAATGAACTCCTTTAACTTGACCTTATCTGAGAAGCACTTTATCTGCCCTTCCATTCTAAATGAAAGCTTTGCTGGATAGAGTAATCTGGGATATAGGTCCTTGTTTTTCATGACTTGGAATATTTCTTTCCAGCCCCTTCTTGCCTGTAAGGTCCCTTTTGAGAAATCAGCTGACAGTCTGATGGGAACTCCTTTGTAGGTGACTGTCCCCTTATCTCTTGCTGCTTCTACGATTCTCTCCTTCATTTTTACCTTGGCTAATGTAATTATGATGTGCCTTGGTGTGTTTCTTTTTGGGTCCAACTTCTTTGGGGCTCTCTGAGCTTCCTGGATTTCCTGGAAGTCTATTTCCTTTGCCAGAATGGGGAAAGTTCTCCTTTATTATTTGTTCAAATATGTGTTCAATCTGTTGCTTTTCCTCTTCCCCTTCTGGTACCCCTATAATTCGGATGTTGGAATATTTAAAGATGTCCTGGAGGTTCCTAAGCTTCTCCTCATTTTTTTTTGAATTCTTATTTCTTCATTCTTTTCTGCTTGATTGTTTTTTTCTTCCTTCTGGTCCACTCTATTGTTTTGAGTCCCAGTTTCCTTCCTATCACTGTTGGTTCTCCGTGCATCTTCCTTCATCTCTTTTGTGGTAACCTGCATTTGTTCATCTAATTTGGGACCCAAATCAACCAATTCTGTGAGCTTCCTGATCACCAGTGTTTTGAACTGTGCATCTGATAGGTTCGCTATTTCTTGGTCGCTCAAAAGGATGAGTTCTGGAGCACTGATTTGTTCTTCTATTTGAGCCATCGCTCTCTCTTTTTTTTTCCTGGTCTGGTCACTCTTGTTATGGTGAGGGGCAGAGCCTTAGGTGTTCACCGGGGCTGGGCACCCCAGTCACTAGATTGTGACGTTGTTCTTGGGGGCAGGTGGGAACAATGGAGGCAGCCCCACTCTCCTGGGATCTCAGTCCCTTCCCTGGGATCCTGGGCTGCGCACTCTGCCCTGGTCCACAATCACAGCCTCACTGGGTCCTCCACTTGCCGCTTGCAAACTCAGGGTCCACCCTCTGTGCTCCCTGATGGCTTACTCGCTCCTAGTTGCCTTAGGCGCCCAGCTCTCCCCACACTCCGCGTGCTGCGACCCGCGCTCGTCTCCGTCCCTCCTACCGGTCTGGATGAATGGATCTACTTCAACTTCTTGGCTGTCCGACTTCCATTCAGATAAATTCTCTGTCAGTTCTGGGTGTTATTCTGCCTCTAAATTGTTGTCGTTCCAATCTTGGTTGTGCGTGGAGGTATGGTGCGTCCACCTATGCCTCCATCTTGCCGGAAGTCCCAAACATTCTTTATTGTCTGATGCTCATGTATGAATTTTTGTTAGGCTCAAATTGTTGTATTTAAAAACTATGAGGTTAATATTGGAGAATTAGTTTTACTACATCAAATAATACTGCTAGGAATCATAAATAAGCAGCACATTATTACATGGTAAACAAGAAAATAAATTACAAAACTGAAAAAGCAATATTCTTTGTACTACCATTTTATGAACAGAGACATGGATTGCTATAAAAGGAGCTTCAAGACAGATTTCTTGCATGGCTTGATATATTTCAGCCATGTTAAGATAAAAATAAATTGCTTAAGCCAAGCTCATGTATAATCTCTAAGACCCATTCCTGACTACCTCCTACTTTAGAAATGGAGTGGTCCAAACCCTAACAAGTGAGAACTGGAAAATACCTTAGAAATCATCTTGTTCAAATTAAGAATCCCATGAGTAACGATTAGGAATGAATGTGGCCACATTGATGTCTTTCCGAGCTCGGGTACCACTCAGGTGATCCAGTTTTGTGGTGTTCAGCAGCCATTTTTGTGCCTCACCACTTTTTCTGCCCTCACCTTCTCAGTACATTGCAGAGGATTATTAATGGTATCATCTAGTAGTAGCTACAAGGAATCTATTGGTTCATCCTTTCATTCAGTGAATTGTATAAGTGCTATGGAGCAAAGCCAGGTTGGGGGGAAGGGAGTGATCAGTCACTAGAGAAGCTCTGAGGGATGCATGGGAGAGTGCCTTGCAAAGAAATACCTAGTTTAAGAGTGCCCTAGACCATTGAATTCTAGGATATAAGAGATGTATGTTCTTTATACATAACATAAAGGTTGTATATAATAGGCATTCACAAGACTTCTGAAAGGAATGGATGGTTGTGATTTCATGGTTTTGAATGTTCAGGTGTCCCTGATAGTGGACTAGGTTCTGTGGTTTATAATGAATTGCCTTTATACTGTATGTCATGACCCTTGGGCAGTATTTAGCCTACAGATGTGTTTTCTTTGGAGCATATATTATTTCTTAAAAAGCAGGAAATTTTATATTAAATCAACATTTACAGAATATCTTTAAAAATCAATCTGACAAAGTCAGCTCTTAATTCCTGTGCAGTTCCAACAATTGGCTAAGCTCACAGCAACCTCCTTCAAATGGGCTTCTTGTCCCTGGTTTTGGGCTTCTTCTCTACCCTATGTGCTGTTGAGGACTTGCTTCTGTGTCATGGAGGCGGAGGGAGATTTCTCTCTGAAAATAAATTTATGTCATAAATTGTCATCTAAAATGAATTAAGTTTATGAAAATCAAAGGACTTACACAGTTTAGTTTATAATATTGTGTGGGTGTCAAATATTTTTAAATAATGCCTTAAAACTCAATTTGTTTTGAAGAATAGGTGCAAGTAGTGGTTTTGTTTTAAATCAATTTCCCAGTACT